ACCATTAATTAAAAGATGCTGATAAATTTCTGGGGGAAAAAATAGCAATTGTGATGGTATTGACCAATATCAAATTGGAGAAATAGAAGCTCAGAATAGTAACATGAGATGATGCAGTAGAACTAAAAGTCATTGATTTCTGAGCTGATTTAGTTATTGTCTGCTATGCAGCCTGTTTTTCAAACTTCCCACAGATTCTTGAATTCACCAATATCATTTTCATGAACTTCGGTTAAGCCTTTAAAATTGTATCTTTTACCTTTTTTTTTCTTATTGTTGTTGTTAAATTTCATGTGTTCTTTTCAAATTATCATTTCAGCTTGTCCAATACTCTACTAATTCATTTTAAGTTTGGTCTGTACTCATACTTTGTAGATTGATATGTAAATACCTCCATCAATAATTATCATTCCTCACTCTCCTGGAAAAGAGAAATTCTTTGTGTCTGATTTTCTCTTTGAAACTGCTAATTTCTGCAGGTCATCATTATTTTTCTATGAAATGTGAGATGTCTCTTTTTAGATGGTCCAAAATCACCTTATATTGCCAAGTTTCCTATCTTATTCTCCTCTATGTTTCATTCTTACTCTTGTCAACATTTCAATATTGAGTTTGGTTCCCTTTTTTTGTCTTGAAACTTTCCTTCATTCTGGCTTACATTTTAAACTGGCTTCCATCTAGTCTAAGAATATTTTATCCTCTCAATAGCTATAGTTAGTTAGAAAGGCAGTCCTCAAGCCTGTCCACTTTATCTTTTAACAGGCATAACAAGTTCACATAATTGACTGTTATTATCTCAGCAAAGAAAATGCCTTGTTGATCCTGGAGCAGTTAGCCTTTTATAGCTCTGGAGTAATCTTGACTGCCAGGTGGCTGAATTTCTTCACACTGGGACCTTGGTTGACTGCTGAAAAGCACTGGCACTCCCTTCAACCTCACTGCTAACCTGTGATAGTCTACTAGGCATTACTCCATTACACTAGAGTCAAACCTAGATTCCTCCCACAAACAGAAGCACAGAGACACATACAATTTCTTAATAGTGAAATTCCAAAATATTTTAATCATTGATTCCTATTATTTTGTTAAGTCTATTCATATATTTGTAAAAGCCCTGGTGCTACAGTGTTTAAAGAATTTGGGTGCTAACTGAAAGGTGGTGGTTTGAAACTACTAGGTGCACTGTGGAAGAAAGATGCAGGTGTCTGCTTCCGTAACAATTATAGCACTGGAAACCCTATGGAGCAGTTCTACTTTACTCTACAGGGTCACTCACTATGAGTTGGAATTGACTCGATGGCAGGTTTCTTTTTTTTTTTCTTTAATTCATATACTATCTGAAAAGCACAGTTCCTTATAAAAATTCTTAAAATACAGGCACACCTTGTTTTATAGCTCTTTGCTTTATTGCGTTTTGCAAAATATTGTGTTTTTTTAATAAATGAAATGAAAAATTTGTGACTTGTTTTATTGTGATACTTTATTGCAGTGGTCAATATCTCTGAGGTGTGCTTGTAACTGAAGGCTATTTTTAAATAGTCTTCATATTTAATATCCTCAAATTCTTCATTTTATTTCCTTAATACAATATTTTCAAATTGTTTTGCTATCATTGTTGGCCTCCTTGGTTCTAACTTCTCAACCAAAAATTGTTGTTGTTGTTAGGTGCCATCGAGTCATCTCTGACTCATACCAAATGGGTACAAATATGCATCTCTTCCAGTCAGTTGGCCAGGAAGCGCTCTTCCAAATCCCTTGGCATAGCTAAGTGAGTGCCTTCAGCAGGGCATCCATTTGTTGAAACATCTCAATGGATATTCTATCAATTCCTGAAACCTTGTTCTTCGCTACTTCCTTCAGAGCAGCTTCGAATTCTTCCTTCAACACCATTGGTTCTTGATCATACCCCACCTCCTTAAATGGGTGAGTATTAACCAATTCTTTTTCGTACAGTGACTGTATATTCCTTCCATCTTTTTGATGTTTCCTGCATCATTCAACATTTTGTCCATAGAATCTTTCCATATTGCAACTCGAGGCTTAAATTTTTTCCTCAGTTCTTTCAGCTTGAGAAATGCTGAACATGTTCTTCCCTTTTGGTTTTCTGACTCCAAGTCTTTGCACTTTTCATCATAGTAATTGGCTTTGTCTGCTCAAGATGCACTTTGAAATGTTTCATTCAGCTCTTTTATCTTGTAATTTCTTCCATTTGCTTTAGCTACTCTCTGTTCAAGGGCAAGTTTCAGAGTTTCCTCTGATGTCTATTTTGGTCTTTTCTTCCTTTCTTGTCTTTTTAATGACTTCTTGCTTTCTTCAAGGATGATGTCTCAATGTCGTCCCACAATTCCTCAGTCATTGGTGTTCAATGAATCAAATATATTCTTTAGACGGTCTCTAAATTCAGGAGGGCTATTATCAAGGTCATATATTGGCTCTTGTGGACTTGTTTTAATTGTCTTCAATTTCGAGTTGAACGTGCATATGAGCAGTTGATGGTCTGTTCCACAATCAGCTCCTGGCCTTGTTTTGGCCAAAGATACTGAGCTTCTCCATCACCTCTTGCCACAGATGTAGTCATTCTGATTCCTGTGTATTCCATCTGGTGAAGTCCACGTGTATAGTCATTGCTTATGCTGTTGAAGAAAGTTATTTACAATGAATAAGTCGTTGGTCTTGCCAAAGTCTATCATGCGATCTCCAGCATTATTTCTATCACCAAGGCTATATTTTCCAACTACCAGTGACACTTCTTTGTTTCCAACTTTTGCATTCCAGTCACCAGTGATAATCAACACATCTTGATTGCATGTTCAGTCAAGTTCAGACTGCAGAAGTTGGTAGAAATCTTCAATTTCCTCATCTTTGGCTTTTGTGGTTGGTGCATAGATTTGAATAATAGTAGTATTAACTGATCTTCCTTGTAGGCATACAGACATTATGCTATCACTGACAGCGTTGTACTTCAGGACAAAACTGGAAATAGTTTTTGTGATGATGAATGCCACATCATTCCTCTTCAATTTGTCATTCTTAGCATACATAGGTTGTCTGATTCAAAATGGCCAGAACCAGTCCATTTCAGCTCACTAATGCCTAGGATATAAATCTTTATGTGTTCCATTCATTTTTGAAAACTTCCAATTTTCCTAGATTTGTATTTTGTCTATTTCATGTTCCAATTATTTATGGACATTTGCATTTGTTTCTACTCATTTTGAGTCATGCCACATCAGCTAATGGAGGTTCCAAAAGCTTTGCTCTATCCCTACTGTTAAAGTTGTCTCTACTCTGAGGACTCAGCTCTTCCCCAGTCAGATTTTGAGTGTCTTCAGACCTGAGGGGCTCATCTTCCAGTAATATACTGGACAATGTTTCAGGGCTATTCGTAAAGTTTTCCAATAATATATCAGACAGTGTTTCACTGATATTCATAAGGTTTTCACTGGCTAGTTGTTTGAGAAGTGGATGAACCCTTCCTTAGGAGTCTGTCTTAGTCTGGAAGCTCCACTGAAACCTGTCAACCATGAATAACACTGCTGGCATTTTGCAACACTGGTGGCATAGTCTACAGCCTCACAGCAACACATAAGCCACCACAGGATGACAAACTGACAGACAAGTTTGTCTTCCTTAGTTGTTCCTTATGCTTCTGCTCCCGCCTACTTCAGGCCTTGGCCTTAAAATAGAGCCGCCCCCATTAGATCAGTGGTTTTTAAAGTGTGATCATTAAACCAGCAGCATCAGCAGCAGGTGGGAACTTGTTAGAAATGCAGATCAGGCTTCCCTCCAAATCTACCAAACTAGAAGCTAGGGGTGAAACACACTGGTGTTTGTTCTGACAATTCCTCCAGGTAGTAATTTTGATGGACAATAAATTTAAGAATCACTGTATTAGAATAATAATACAAGGATAAATATTATGCAGAATTTAAGGATTAGCCATAATTATATATAATAAGCATTCTTATCTGAAAATACAACCCTAAAAAGTTTTAATTAGCATGATAGATTCTTCAGATAGCTCATGCTTTCTCCTTTAATTTATAGAAAACCCCAAAAAGAAACAAAAAGAAGGGGAAAAAAAAGGAACAAAGAAATACTTGGGGTTTCAACCATTATATTGGAGATGGCTGTTGAGCAAAAAGTGAAGGACAAAACACATCTTCTCCCCTTTGGGAATTTGCAGGAAAAAGGCCCTTCAGCAGAAGTGTTTATCTGTGCGGACTGAGAAATTAAAAAAAAACAGTTGTCATGGAGTTGATTCCAACTCATGGCTACCTCATGTATGTCAGGGTAGAACTGTGCTCCCTAGGGTTTTCAGTGGCTGATATTTTGGAAGTAGATTGCCAGGACTTTCTTCCAAGATGTCCTTACGTGGACTTAAACCTCCCCCTTTTTGGTTGGCAGTGACACACATTGCCATTTGCGCCACTCATGGACTCCGTGAAGCTGACAATCAGCTACAAAAATGTTTTGTGAATGCTTTACAAAACGTCTTTTGTCAAAAAGACTTTAAAATTTGAAAATGAACTCTACTATAAGTATTGTCATTTCATGTTTTACCTCATTCAGTAGAAAACTTTTTCTATGAAGGGACAAATAGTAAATATTGGAAGCTTTGTCAAAACTACTCAGTTCTGCAGCTATTCAATTTCAATGCTGTAGCCAGAAAACAGCCAAAGATAATATGTAAGTAAATTGGCATGCCAGTGTGCCAATAAAACCTAATTTACATAAAGAGGGGGTAGGATAGGATTTAGGACTGAATTTTGCAGACTCTTGACTATGACTTATGTGCAGTTAGGCTGAATATATTCGGTGGAAAGAAGACACTGAAAATAATTACGGGAATCATGAAAATTATTACCTGTGAAAATGTTTCCCAGGGCCAAGTTACTCAACCCCAGCTCTCACCAGCCCCAGTCAGTTTTGCCAAAGCATGCTTTTTTTTTTTTTTAAACCACACATTCCTCTACTCAGGCTCTGGTAGCATAGTGCCTAAGGCACTTGATTGCTCACCAGAAGGCTGGCAGTTCAAACCCATCAGCCACTCCTCAGGGCAATCTACTTCCGTAGTGAAGCTGCTTTAGAAACCCAAGGAGGGCTCAGTATGAGTTGGTTACGACTCAACGGCACATAACAACAATTCCTTTACTCAGACATTAACATCTACTGTACCAGAATTTCTTCCCATCAAGTCATCCTTGAGAGAGCAGGCCACTAATTCCACTGATCCCTCTCAGTGAATTTTCATGAATGTTCTGTGCCATCACACCATGACATTCACTGTAATTTAAGTCTTACAAACTATTTTAAAATTATATGAAAAAAAAATTTATAATTACCATATAGGAGCTCTGGTAGCATAGTGCCTGAGGCACTTGACTGCTAACCAGAAGGCTGGCGGTTCAATTCCACCAGCCACTCCTCAGAAGGAAGGTTTCCTCGGAAACCCAAGGAGGGGTCACTATGAGTCAAGTCCAACTCGACGGCACATAACAACAACAACAACAACAGCCTTCAGAACTGCGACAGAAGAAATTTTTCTTGTTTTGCACTCCCCAGATTTTGGGGAGTTATGACAGCCCCAGAAAATAATACAGCCCCAAAGCACATTTGCTGACTCTTCCTTACTTGTTTGCCCAGAAATTTCTGGAACAAGACTTCATTTTCCCAGACAAGTCTTTATTTTTTCTTTAAAATTTCTCTAAATTTGCCAAGTACACCATTTCTCTAAACTTATCAATTTTTTTTTCAATTCATTCATTTTCCTCAAAGCATAACCAACCCAACTGGTATGATGCATGTATTCACTTCCATTCCTGTCTAGGACTCCTAATTCCCTCAAATAAAATAAATATTCACATATCCTAAACCCACATATATTCCATTGCTTCGATGTACATAACCTGTGATTTTTCTCCAAACCTACTGGGGAAAGGGTTTTTCTTGCTGTCCTGGATTGAATTGTATCTTCCCAAAATACATATCAACTTGGCTGGACCATGACTTTTAGTGGTTTGACAGTTATGTAATGATGTAATCATCCCCCATTATGTGATTTTATGTGATTAGCCAATCAGTTGTAAGGAATTAGGGTAGGCTGCAACTCAGGTCAGAGCCCTAATCTGATCTAAGGGGAGTTTTCCTGGGGTGTGGCCTGCATCACCTTTTATCTTACAAAACATAAAAGGAGAGAGAAGCAAGCAGAGAAAGAGGGGCTTTAGTACATCCAAGGAAGAAGAGCCAGGAGCAGTGTCCTTTGGGCCTGAGGGCCTTGCACTGACAAACTCCTATACCCAGGGGAAGATTGATGCAGATGCAGGGAGATCTCCAGGGGATACCAGGCCCATAGATGTTGAAAGGAGAAAAGGACCTTACCCCAGAGCTAAGAAAGTCTTCCCCTAGAGCTGGCAACCTGAATTTGGACTTCTGGCATCCAAAGTGTGAAAGAATAAATTTCTGTTTGATTAAACCATCCACTTGTGATAGTTCTCTTAGAACAACACTAGATAACTAAAGCAGAATTGGAGTTAGGAGTGAGGCTCTGCTCTAATAGATACTTAAAATATGGAAGTAGTTTTGGAATTGGGTAACTAGTAGAAACTGGAAGAGTTTTCAAGTGTCAAATGGTAAAAGCATAGATTGACTTGAAGAGACTGTTGGTGAAATTATGAATGTTAAAGGCAATTCTGATGAGGGCTCAGAAGAAATCTGATGAAAGGTATAACACTGGAGACAGTGCAAAAGGCAAAAGCAGTGGTAGAGAAATGGTGGCAACAGAATCAAGAGACTGGCATGAGATGCTACAGAAGCCAACCCATGGAACAAGAAAGATAACTACGTCAGCAGGAGGCTTCTTAGGAGAGTGGAGTGCCTCTGGGCACTTTTCAATGCTGACCTGCAGAGTAAGAGAGCTGAGCACCTTCAGGCTGAGGCTTACTGATGGAGTAGGGTGCCTCCAGGCACTTATCAGCAGAACTAAAGAGCTTTGTAACACTTGCCTAAAGAGGGCAGAGGCCAGGCTGGCCCCAGAGGCCCAAGGGACCAAGAGCTGAGAAGCCAAGGAACCAGGAAGCAGAAGCTGAAGAGACAGGCTGAAGAACATGAGAAGCAGAGCGGCCTCAGCCTAAAAGGATTGGACTATAGCCTACTGGGTCTCAAAAGGTGGGGCCATGGCCTCCTAGGTTTCAAAGAGTCAGATCTTTCAAAGAGTCAGTTCCAGAGTGTGAGACTACCATTCATGGGTGCCAGAGAGATGGGATTAGATCAGCTGCCCAAATCTGATGGGCAGGGATGCTGTGCCCAAGGGGCAGAGGAACAGGGCCTACTGGGGCTGAGAGGGTAGGATTGCCACTCAATTGGACTAGGAGAATGAGGCCTCGCAGAACTGAGGGAACAGAGGTACTGTTCTTGTGGGCCTAGAACATGGAGCTGAAGCTCAGGGCTGAAGGGCCTTCACTCAAAATCCAGAAAGCATGGACAAAACTCAAAGTCTGGAGGGCAAGACCATTGCCTAGATGGTCTCAGAAAACAAAGGATTTTCAAACTTTGAGAGCCAATTTTTCTGTTGAGTTTTTTATTTGGTGCCAATTATCCCTTTTTTATCTCCAATATCTTCCATGTATAATGGAAATGTCTACCCTGTGCCTGTTCCATTATATTTGAAAGCAGATAACTTGTATTCTACATTCACAA